AGCTTGCCGTGATGGCTTACATTTAGCTTGCCGTGATGGCTATACGTTAGCTTGCCGTGATGGCTATACATTTAGCTTGCCGTGATGGCTATACATTTAGCTTGCCGTGATGGCTATACATTTAGCTTCGCTTAACGCCTTTTTTTTCTTCTGGATCATTGCAGTATTGTTATAGTCTATGAGACTCTCTCTCTCTCTGTGTGTGTGTGCTGTTGTTGTTTGTCCTCTTTTACACACTCCCCCTCAACCCCCCTTTGTCTACCTATCTTCTAGCTGAACGTATGTATGCATGTTCATGGATGCTAACCCCTGAATTGCTGTCTGTCCTTTGCTACTACTGCTGCCGGCGTTGACTTGTTTGTTTGTCCGTCCTTTCTCGGAAGCAACAGAAATGTAACCAAACCGAGGGACAGTCGCCACTGCGGACACCCGTATATCTGATCCAAGCTTTTGAATCCGATCAAGCCATGCCATTGGTCACTCGTCCTGCGCAGAGGGCTACTTCTGCAACCTTGGAGAATAGCGAAGCTGGCTGCTGGTACTGCTACTGTTGTTGGTGTTGTTGGCCTGTGTTGGTTTAACTGTTGCTGTTGATGCGAACTGGTCGCTGTCGTAACCTTGTGCAACATGGACCGAGTTGGGCGTGTGGACAACCATGGGCTCAAGATCAAACAACAAGTCCTCCAAACACCCAGTCGTCAAACCCATCCTCCCCGACTTGGCCCATCACCGTCACGACCTCCTCTGTCCCTCTCGCTCCTTGGAGGATCGTTATTGGAAGGAACACATGTGAGCTCGGACTTGAAGCGCCTGTCGCCCCAGCCGGTGACGACATCTTGAAGTGCCGAGTCGGAAACGCAACGCCACCAGCACCTCCTCTTCCTCGCCCATAGGTCTGTTGGGCCGGTGCGCGTTGAGAGGAGGAGTACTTGAGCACATTGAACGCCAGCAAGCGGAAGACCAAGTGGTCGCTGACTAGACGTACCAACAGCACTCCATGAATCAGAGATAGTCGGCTGGTCGTACTGGTGTCGCTCAACTCGAGGGTATGAATACGGTAGCTGAGCAACAAGCTCCATTTCAATCTACAACGTTCGAATCGATTTCTTTGGGTTTATTACATTATTCATCGACAGACACCAAGAAAACATGCTCCGATCAACGCTATGAGAGACACGGAGGTGACCGACCGACGTCACGAGGGATATCGCAGTGTCCATCAACATCGTCTATTATTGCAATAAAACAAAACTCGCACCCTCATGCGAGCATACTTGTCATTCAACCTCGAGGACCGACTTACCTTCCTAATCCTTGGATTCGTTAATGGCGCAGGTATTTCGACCACCGCCTGAAAAAATGATACTTGTGGCTGGATCATCTGAGAAGACATTGGGATAGTCATAGACAGAGGTGGACTTGGAGACTGGTACAGGCCTGGAGAGATGTCACTGCCACCACTGCTAAGCATGCCGACCCCGGCGAGACTGTTGGTGGCGCCAACACCAAGGCCGAAGGCAGGATCCATATTGTTTTCTTGAGCTTGTGACAAGAAAGTATTTCTAGCCATGTCGGTCGTAGGAGAATCCTCATGGTCCGATCTACTTAGTCTAGGGACCCTGGGATCTACAAGCATAAAGGTACAAGTGGGCTCATGAAAATGCGATCTTTCTTATCGACGTGTACGTAGATATGTGGTAAAGAGGATTATATGTTGCGATGTATTACCATCTGGGAACCCAAGACCCCATCGATCATCGATAGGTTGCTGCTGCGACATCTTTAAGGAGTTGGCGCCGGTCGTGTCGAACAACCCTGCCTGCTTCACGATTGTGCTGGAACTCCTAGACTCAAAAAACGACAAGCACATGCAGAGAGGGGTATAAAGTTAATTTTCAGGTTGTTCCTGTACGTACCTGCAAAGGATCATAAAGCATACAAACGAAGAAACAGACGTACCTTACTTTGCAAAAGGGATGTAGTCCAGTTTGTATTTGTCCCCGTCGCCGTTGCGATCGTATATTCCTGGGCTGGAAGAAGTGGTTCTTGGGTTCGGATCTGGGAAGAAGTCCATCGCCGGACAAGGGGAAGGGGAGAAGAAATGGTGGCGTGTGGATGACAATTTTGTCGGAGGGGAAAAAAAAAGAATTACTTGGATGCGAAATAAGCGTGCTGGAGGAGATGATTGAGCGTAGTCAAGAACTCGCGCCAGACAGAGCCGGCTCCACCTTCTCGGTTGTGGATGTATTCCAACTGTAGCCAGTGTATACTCATCCACTCTGCCTCCTTCGCGCTCATCTCATCCTCCCATCCAGAGACATACACCCTCCTCAACTTGCTCAGGCTTCTCAGCTTGTCCAGACCAACAATAAGCACCAACGGGATCCCCTTGCGACAGTCCTCTGCCAGGTGGTAGTCCAAGTCGCCACTCAGATTAAGAACCTTGAGATCCTGTAGTTGCGCAATCTGGTTAAGAATAACATTAATCGACCGCCGAGTCGACTTCGGGGCCAACACCGCCTTGACACTCGTAGTGTCTGCCATCTCTGCAAGATTGGTCGCATCCTTGTCCAGCGACATTCCAATTCCAATCAAGACCACAAGCTCCTTCAGGCGCCGTGACGACCAGGGTTGCTCAGAGAGCACCATATCCCTCGTTCACAGAAACGACTCTGGTCCTCGAAACAACCTCAAGTTCTCACATCGAACCAAGATCTGGTGAACGTTGAGTCTCGACAGACCTCCACAGTCGACCAGATCCAATACCTCCAGCCTCCCCAAATGTACTGACAATTGACGAGACGAGTGACCTGCAAACGGAACAGTTACTGATGGTGACCTCCTTGAGCTGCCGTGACTTGAGGAGTGCCTCGTCTGCCAAGAGCCGACGTTGCTGTTGCTGTCGCTGTTACTGTCGCTGTTGCTGTTGCTGCGACAGCCGCGGTGGACGCAATGGTATCAGGTCGGGAGAGCAAGAGGTCAGGATGTCCTGGGTCGCATTGCCAACCTCGGTATGTGAATATCGCGGCCTTTGCCAATATAGGTCAGACTCTTGGTGTTGGGAAACTCCAGGTGAGGGGCCGCAGGCTGTTGAAGATGGCGTAGCGTGTGAAGAAGGCGTAGGCCCCAAACCCAATCGACTCCAGACCCTGGCCACGAAACGAGAGTCGGTTGGTGTGGAGGACAATCTGATCAATATGGATCCCCTTGATTTGACGAAAGTCCAGTACCGATGTCGAGTCTGTTGTCGTGGTTGCCTACCCCTCCTCATCCACCTGTTCCTCCTCATCCACCTGTTCCGCCTCAACCTATTCCTCATCCACTTGCCCCTCCTCAACCTGTTCCGTCTCCATCTCCTCCTCCCTCTCCTCGTCTTGAAGGTCGGAAACGCAGCAGTGTTAAAGTCTGAATTCACGGGTACAATCCTCAAACGGACCGCAGGAATACTGCTTCAGACGAGACAGTTCCTGATCAACATGTTCATCTTTGGGACAGAGATTATCCACTTGTGATATGCAGTAAAACAAGGCTCTGATGCTGACACCGGATGAAGCCCCTTGCAAACCGTAGCGTGTGCTCCTTGGAGTGGAGACCCCAATCCTCGTTCAGGTGCGAGAGGGGCGTCTGCTGTCGACCAAGTTGAGGGAACCTTCGAATGGATACCGATGTGCTGCCCATCTTTCTCGGACGGCTTGATGGGTCGTTGATGTTGCTGGTGCTGTTGTTGGTGTTGCTGCGGCTGTTGTAGTGTTGCTGGCGCTGTTCTTGGTGTCGCTGGTGGCTGTTGTTGATGTCGTTCTTGAGGTCAATCGTCAAAGGTACTGTCCAGGTCGTCATCGTCGTAGTCTCCTTGGTAAGATTCGTCAGAGGAGGTTTCTTCTCCCGAAGAAGCATAGTTGGGAGCGGTCCATCGCCATTGAGCAATATAAGGACGGTATTCTAGGCCGGTTGATATATCGACAAGAAGGGCCCGGGCCACCGTTCTAGGAAGAAGACTGGGTCGTGCATGACCAACTCTCGACCTAGGTGCTCGTCCTGGTGAAAGATGCGTTGGCTGAGGTAGTATAGAGCGAGCTGTCAACGTGAATGGGTGTGCAGAGCTGAGTCATAAGTCGGACCGCCATGTCCTTGAGACGAGGATGCATGAGCATATAGGTCGTGTGTGCTGCTGTCGAGGTATCGGGCAATGTGTGCGCGGATCTCTGGCAGGTCGAGAGGAGACAATGAAGTAGTGTGTGAGGTGGAGGTGGATGCCATGCTGTTGTGGTTTGTTGCTGGTGTTATTACTGATGTGAATAGGAGACGTTGGTTGGGAGAGGAAGGAAGAAGAGGAGGAGGAGGAGGAGAAGAAGAAGAATGAGCAAAGAGTGAAGAGTGAAGAGTGAAAGGTCCATCAAGTTCCATCAACCAACCACTTTTGACCCATGTTAGGACGCGTCCTTCCTTCCTTTCTTTTTCTCCTTTGGTTCATTCACTCCTTTCTTTCCCCTCTTCTGCTTTCTCGTCAAGCTGGGCTGGGTAAGACAAACGGTATATGGTCATGCAAAGTACCATAGCGAATCGACGTTGTCCCTGTCACTGTCACGGCTTTTGGTCCTTGGGGAACCTGGAGGACCTCAAGGATCTCCTCCAGCTGGACACAGGTGAACTCGTCGAAATATACGCGTACGTCAAATGAGGCATCAAGCAGAAACGGACGGTGAAGAGCTGGGTTCTCGTCTTTGTCGTCCTGATCGAACCCGTATTCGTCAAGGCCGTAAAACATAGCGAGCTGTGCCGCGATTACCGGCACGAGAAGGACGGCCATCTTGAATGAATGAAGAGCGATGGTCTGTAGCAGCATTCAAGGAAGCCATGGCAGGAAGCAAATGCGAGCTACCCTCCTTCCTGCAAAAAACTCTGTAAATTAAAGTTTTTTTTTATGTGCAGTATCGGGCACAGTACTGTACTTTCCAATTGGTTGGGAAGGACAGGACACATGTTGTCTTGTTTTGTTATTACAGACCGACATACTCTACATTTCTCACGACCAAGAATGGCTGGCAAGGGCGCCTACTCTAATGGACGACATGTCGCATCGGCATCAACTAGATGAAGCGTTTCACGCTCTCAAGGACACGGAGTTCACCGGAGATGTGGCCGACGTGAAGGCTCGACTTCTGGACAGGCTGTTGACTGTTGAGGACTCTATTAGACAGAGCGCGCAACATTAATAAACATCACCTCTGACAGCCTTCCCCACTATGTGGCGGAAACCTTGCTGAGCGCTGGAATCCGGATGCAAGGTGGTCAGGATCAGAGCGGGCTTCTTCACGGTTTTTGCGCTAAACATCAAGGGTCCAAATGAGCGTCATCCACACCAAGATGTCGACCCCGACCCTCCACCGTCCACCGTGTTGTCTTTGCCTCTTGACCACCGTGGTCCTTTTTTGTTTGAGTTCCTGGCGAGGCATTTCAACTGCATCATCTACAAGTTTACCTCCGTTGGGACAGCGGGTCGATTCGCACCTGGAGACGGCAAGACGCCCTGCTTCTCGATGGGGGTTTTGAGGACGTGTGATGGCATTGGAACGTTCGTGAAGTACTTTGTCCTGGGTCCTGCTCGTCATTCAGAGCCCCCTCCCTCCTCTACGCCTTCTCCTCCTGCGCCTTTTTACGATCCCCAACACCCACACTCCGCCATTCTTCGTCATGAGAAACGCGCGAGAAAAGGAACCAAACAGGTTCAGGAACTGACTGAGTTTGACGATAGTGTGGTGATTGAGGTCTATGCCTCTGCTTGGCAAGTTATTGCTCTTTTATCCAAAAGAAAGCAATGCCACTCAATGGAAACGCCATGGATAAAGACTGCAGACCTCTAAAGCAATTTTTTTTCTTTCAATATGCTTATAGTCGTCACCGGTTGGACAATTTTATTCTTGCAGAGGCCGACAAAGTTCGGAAATTATCGCCCAAGTCCAATCTCAAGAACAGAAACGCCACTATGCAGGATCTCAGAGCACGTCCGATGAAAAAACCTCAAACCCCCGACGGAGTCTTCATGGAGTACATGGAGTTGATACAAAAGGAGCTCAGCAACATCAAAATCACCCGCAAAATGGCTAAAGTCAAAGTCAGAAAAAGACCGGTGAGGATTTGGCAACGGGTAGTGACATGGAGGTCCGTCCGGCGGAAGGAGACAGTCGATGGAGTATTTCATGGGTCTGACTACCAACCCAAGGGCAAGAAGGCTATGGGATCTGCTGCAAGGAACAACATCGCAAGCAGTGAGAGCAAGGCCGTGGCGCCCCTAGTTGGATCGTCATCAACAACAACTCCAAGGCCTTCAGCTGATATGATGGACAAGGCAAGTGTGGGTATGGACAAGTGCATGGATGTCGACGATGGAGGAGAGAGTAACGTCGTGGATCTCGACAGCAAGTCCGATACTGATGAGGATGATGCAGACCCTAGGAATGGGTACTAGTCGTTTACTATGACGCTTTTACAGTCTCTGAGGCCTGATTTTACACGAACAGCACGACGAGATTGCAGAGATACTGGAAGCAAAGCAGGATATTGCATCTGATTTCGCATCAAATGTTAACCTTCTCGGAAGGAAGGTGGACTTGGAGGGACTAGCTTTGTTGTGTTGCTTTGAATGCATACATGCATGCATGCATTTCCAGCAGGCAGTGTTTTACAAGGAAGGAAGAGATCGTTTTTACTAATATGTGGTTGTTGTTTTCATATCGTAATCAAGCCGGGCTGCAGTTCAAGAGTGGGACTGATGACGGCTTTCTTTTGAGCCAGATATTCCCGGCCGGCTTTTAGTCTCGTCTGCCCGATGTCGATCTCGATACTGTACGGATGTCCGTAGCAGCCCTGGATCCGGAGTTCGAGAGATTGATTGATTGAGACCAAGGACGATACACCTCAAGGCAAGGATGTCCGCAGTACTTTATCTTTATGAGCGCTGTCGTTTTTGTCTGCAAGGCATCTTGGCGTCCACGCAGACGAGGACAACACCTCAGGGAATGGAAGCACCTCACAAGTCGATCACACATTTTGGCAGGATCTCTCTGACAGCATACGCGCCTCGTCACCACCAACACCTTCATCAAGTGTCGATACAAACATCCACCCTCTTGCCAACTTTTCAAGCACCACCAGGGTCATGCTTAACGACATCTCGTCTAATTTTACCAACATCTGGGATGGTCCATTATTCGACAAAATATTTCACACATTCTGCAACATTGTTTTACGACAGCATCTCACGGCGAGAAAGGAGGAGGAGGAGTGCAGAAAACGCGAGGCTCAGCAAAAGCAGGAGCGGGACGCCAGGAAGGAGGAGTCGGCCATGAAGACCGCCAAGAGTCGAAAGTGCTGGTCCGATGATGTAAACAAGACTATCTGCGGGGGGACTTAGTCTAAACAAATGGGCTGTGGAGCAAGGACTATATCCGTGAGGATGAAAAAGGAGGGAACCAAGGAGTTCACATATGTGGGATCGATAGAATAAACAAAACAAAAATAAAAGGAGAGAGGGAGAATAAATGTAACGAGTGCTAACAGTAAAGTAGACCCCTGGGCACCGGCTATTCCATAATATAGGTTGACAGTTGCACCGTAGTCCGCCGTTAGACGATAGGTCGGACAGTACCAACGATGGCGGTCGGATCGATAACTGGCAGAAACATGGGCAGGGCGAAAAGTGGACCTCTTTGAGATCAGGGGTTGCGCAAATAGTGTCAAGGATAGTATGGACAAGCCGGTCGGTGGTGGGTTTCCTTGTGCTACCCAGTGCGCATTGTATTCATTGTTGACAATGCGCAGGGGTGGCTGGGAGATCCTGCTTTCAATGCTGACTGAGAAGGGAACGGGAACATGGCTAGGATACGCCATCATGACAATACCTATCGAAAGGTGGTCGAGTGGTCCTTGCTGGTCAGAATAACAATCAAAAGAGTGGATCAAAAAGAATAAGAGAAAAGGATCTGCCCTTTGAGTGGTATTTTGGTGGCGTGCTTGTGACCACCATTTTCGGAACCGAGCAGTTGGCTCGGCGCGCTTCTCATATACATCACCACACTGGCGGAAACGTCTGCGAAGCCTACAGTCATATTTGGCCCGTTGTCTTCGTCAACCGGGATCAGACATGAAGGCCGTTAGATTGAACACCATCATCAATGCGTTGCGAGGACTGGCGGAGTCAGAGCCTGAGATTCGTCATGTTCAGTTGCCAGGCCTGGAGGAACAGTTGGAGGCTATGGGAAGGACTTCTGCTACGACACCAGTGGGTGATTCTCTGATTGACGCGCTACGCAGCAGAGTTGAAGCGAAAGATCAACATGGTAACTTTCTACTGCAAGATGAGCAGGGTGTCGTTGAAGGTGAGTTTTTGAAAGAAAATGTTATCAACAGCTTACAATTGTCCTTGTTTCAAGTCTATGTTTTTTTTTTTTTTTTTTTTTAGATCGGGCAGCAGCTCGGGAGTTCATTCACAGCCAACATGGACAAGGCCCGTGTGTAAAAATCTCACTGCGTGCATTGATTTGTCGGGGCCCGGTTTTTTGCGGTAGACATCATGTTACTTTGGAACAACGGACCCAGAAATAGCCAAGATGCTGCAAACGGTGGGAATTTCGGTAAGGATATGTCGCGCCGCTTAAACGTCTACAAGGTAACACACGGTATTATGTTGGTGATCAAATGTGTCTTTAGAACGATATGAAGCTGCCTATTATTATTTAGGATACTAAATGGGTTTATTCTGCTCAAAAACAAATAGACCTTGCCGACACACAGGACACGGAAAGGGCTTTACTCCTCCAATACGAGCTTGCGCAAGAGCTACAAGAGCCAGTAGCCGTTCCCACTGTGATTACTACTACAGCACCCCAGACCAATCATCTCGCACAGTCAACACATACTGCCAAAAAGCGACAACGCCACATAACCCAGGATATAACAGCCGCATAGAAGACTCTCAGCAACAATCCGGTGCAGCATATCTACACACCCCAGGACCTGGATAACGCCCATTCAGCCAAGCCGGCAACACGGCCCCTGCTGCGCGACTTTGAACAAACTAAGGCGAATTCCAAGGACAGGAGAACTACAGAACTGCTGACCAAGAAGGCGTATGCTGCTTCTGCAGCCAAAGAACGCCGTTTCACTCAGCCATGTGGCAAGAACAAGGCTTCTTATAGCACCGGATTATGACCATGAAAATTGATCCATTGGATCCAATTTTCTTATGCTGCCTTTCGACGACTTCACTTTATTTAGATGCAGGGCTAGGGTTAACGACGGGGAAGGTTAATAGGCTGGACTCGTCGGCCACCACTACTCCTCAGTCCGAGCTCGCATGTATCCCTTCCAACAACGATCCTCCAAGGAGTGAGAGGGACAGAGGGGGTCGTGGCGGTGGTGAGCCAAGTCGGGGAGGATGGGTTTGACGATTGGGGGTTTGGAGGACTTGTTGTTTGATCTTGAGCCCATGGTTGTCCACACGCCCAACTCGGTCCATGTTGCACAAGGTTACGACAGCGACCAGTTCGCATCAACAGCAACAGTTAAACCAACACAGGCCAACAACACCAACAACAATAGCAGTACCAGCAGCCAGTTTCGCTATTCTCCAAGGTTGCAGAAGTAGCCCTCTGCGCAGGACGAGTGACCAATGGCATGGCTTGATCGGATTCAAAAGCTTGGATCAGATATATGGGTGTCCGCAGTGGCGACTGTCCCTCGGTTTGGTTACATTTCTGTTGCTTCCGAGAAAGGACGGACAAACAAACAGGTCAACGCCAGCAGCAGTAGTAGCAAAGGACAGACAGCAATTCAGGGGTTAGCATCCATGAACATGCATACATACGTTCAGCTAGAAGATAGGTAGACAAAGGGGGTTGAGGGGGAGTGTGTAAAAGAGGACAAACAACAACAGCACACACACACAGAGAGAGAGAGAGTCTCATAGACTATAACAATACTGCAATGATCCAGAAGAAAAAAAAGGCGTTAAGCGAAGCTAAATGTATAGCCATCACGGCAAGCTAAATGTATAGCCATCACGGCAAGCTAAATGTATAGCCATCACGGCAAGCTAAATGTATAGCCATCACCGCAAGCTAATTAAATGTATAGCCATCACGGCAAGCTAAATGTATAGCAATCACCGCAAGCTAAATGTATAGCCATCACGGCAAGCTAAATGTATAGCCATCACCGCAAGCTAAATGTATAGCCATCACCGCAAGCTAAATGTATAGCCATCACCGCGTATTGATTTTTCTTTTGTATGTGGGAGTCAAAATGACTATGTCGGAGACATATAAATACACCCTTCTTGCCCTTTCATTTTGCCATCATTCACTCTCACACACTCACACTCACACACCCACACTCACACACCCACTCTTGCACACCCACTCTCACACACTCACTCACACACCCACTCTTGCACACCCACTCTCACACACTCACTCACACACCCACTCACTCACCAACACCCGCACATGAATACAGACGGCGGCGAGAAGGCGGTTGCCAAGTTGAAGATTTCTTCCCGACTCGACAATCAGCCAGACAGGACTTTTTACCTGTACAAAGGCATCAACGCTGTTGGGCGCGATCCCAACGTGTGCGGCGTCTGGTTGACAGAGAACTTTGTCTGTCGTGTACACATGCACATCAGTAAGAACCTTAAAGCAGTTGCTGACACGCCATGAAGCTAATGAAATGTGCAAGACGCAATCGAAAGATGATCGAGGAGAACTGCTGACATTTGATTCCAATCGTTTTTTCTTTTGCTCGTAATTTGGTAGACGTTCAGGATATCTTCATATTCATTCGGGATGGAGTGGAGCGCCCAGTAAGTCATCCACCTTCCAGCCATATACCAGAATGATACCCCATGGGAGTAGGCTTGAGAACATTAGAGATTTCACAACGAAAGTCACAAGGGTGTGGGTTTGTCTCTGACGACGCTTATTGTTTGCTGTTTGTTTGTTTTATTCAAAATAGGGTAAAAGGCGGACCACTATCTTCGATACACATGTCATGGAGCGCAGTGACTGGTACCCTTGCAGTGAAGAATTGGTAAAGCCAAGTATATTCATATATTGTGCTTGCGTTTATAGGTCCAATGAACACGGGAACTGGTACCGAGTTGAAAGCCGAGACTAATACCGCATGGGGTTTATTCATGCCTTTTTTTCTGCATAGAAATTCCAATTCGCAGGGCTGCTGACGTTGTTTGGGGTGAGATGGTTGGATGACGACGAGCAGGAAGCGGCGCCACGTAAGGTAATAATGCAGTAAACAATGCAAGGTTACTTCTCGTTTGGTGGCAAGTTAAAGAACACTCAAATTTAAACTTGATAAATATTTACCCTACCTTGTTGGACTTGGTCTTGTTGATAGGGTTACATCACCCCGGAACAGCAGACGGCAATTAACAACAGGACACATATGGATGAAACGTTTGTGCTTGAGTGAGGATGGTGTTTGAAAACGTGGTGAAGGAAGAAGAATAATTGATAGCAATGGAAGATGAAGAAGTGGTAATAGAACAGGCAGGTGCGTCGAGAGAGCCCTTGCAGTCGCTTATATAAAACCTCCTGTCGTTGCCGCTGTCGTTTTGGTTGTTGTAGTTGTAGCTGTAGCTGTTGTTGTTGTTGTTGTTGTTGTTGTTGTGACGAGTGCAAGGGCGAGGCGATGGGATGGAAGAAGGAGAGGGGGAAGGAAAGTGAGTGTATAAAGAGCGGAGGTAGAGCCGCCTCCTGAATTGAGCGAAGACCGGGTCGTCGATCGGGTTGCCGACATTGGCGGTCTTGAACGAGGAGGACGCAATTGCTGCAATTGTTATAGCCACCGCGCGAGTAGAGCCCAAAAGACGATAGTCTGTCCCAAAGGCTAACTCTAGAACCCCCTTGAATGGCTGCAGAATTGACTTGACTGGGGTTTGGTGTGTTCCAGAGATGAAATCGTATGTAGCGCAAGGATTTGGTAGGAGGTGTAGTGATGTAAGCATTGGCGAGTGTTGTTCTTGTTGTGGCGGTGGTGTTGACAGGGTGGAAGATGGGAGGTGGTGATGCCGGTGTGGGTGTTTACAGTTCGGGGAGAGGCTGAAGTGGAATGATTTTTTGCGCTTGTTACTGCTGTTGCTGGTGAGGGGTGGGAGAACTAGGTGGAAAACAGATGCGATGAAGAAGATAAAGAAAATGAAGAAGAAAGAAGAGGAAGAAAATGAAGAAGAAAGAAGAGGAAGAAAATGAAGAAGAAAAAAGAGGAAGAAAACGAGGAAGGATAAAACGAAGAAAAAGAGTTGAAAGAAGAGGAGGAGCGTATGAAAGCAGTGACGAGATTGCGGTGATGGCGGTATGCATATCCTTTTTTCGGAATCAAGGGTGTCGGTTGTCAGTT